TAAAATTCTTCTTCCTTCTAATATTCTTCTGCTTTTTTACTTTTTTGTGCTTCTTTCTGCTAATTGGACTTATTTATGATTCTTACATTTGCTTTCTGCTATATTCAGCTATTTTAGCATTTAGCTTTTTATGCTATTTCAGCTATAGTTCTGCTTCCTTTTGCTATTTCTCTGCTTTTTCTGCTTATTTTTTACTTTTTCATGCTTCTTTCTACTAATTATAGTTCTTTGTTTTTTACAGTTGCTTTATGTATTATTCAGATATTTTAGCCTTTAGATTTTAGCTTTTTTATGCTAATTCAGCTATATTTCTGCTTCTTTTTGCTATTTTTATGCCTTTTCTGCATTTTTGCCTCTTTGTGCTTCTTTCTGCAAATTTGAGTTATTTATGCTTTTTAGAGTTGCTTTCTGCAATATTCAGCTATTTTAGCCTTTAGCTTTTAGCTTTTTATGGTAATTCAGCTATAGTTTGGTCCTTTTTGCTGTTTTTCTGCATTTTTTTGCTTTTTTCARCTTTTCAAATTTTAATTATAATAATTCTTTTACTAATTCAGCTCAATTTCAGCTTCTTCTGCAGCCTTCAGCTTACGTTTTCAGCAACAGGCATTGACACTTGCATTTTCGAAGGAAATGCAATTTCTCTAGTTCAATATACTGTACATTTGTTGTCCCAAATGTTACCATTTTGATGATTTAAACAAAATAGAGGACTGCTGAAAATAGGAGCCTCGTTTTTATCCACTGCAGATTTGATTGTAAAGCGTTTTGTTATTAAGTCGGTTTTCTGTATATTTTGCTTTTTTCTCATTGTTACTGTATGTTTGCATCATTTTATTCAGGCTGTGTTAATGATGTAGTTCTGCTGTCATATTATCCCCTCCTCAGCTCTTTGCCCTCCTGGGCTTTGTGGTGAGTGCGGTGTTGATCAGCGCAGCAGCCTCGGAGGTGGTCAGTCTTCTGCACATGCTCGGTGTGGTGCTGAGTCTCAGCAACACGGTCCTGGGTCTGACTCTTTTGGCCTGGGGCAACAGCATTGGAGGTAATTGAGAAWCAAAAAAAAAAAAGTCAGATCTTCTCCAACGAATTTGTAAATCCCCAGTGAACGGTACGACATTTCTCTTTTGTCAGACTGCTTCTCTGACATCACCATCGCTCGTCAGGGTTACCCGCGGATGGCCATTTCTGCCTGCTTTGGAGGAATCATCTTCAGTATCCTTTYTGTTTCACGTCTGTGTAAAAAAGCAACGTGTCTGTGCTGAAGAAGACCTTGACTGTATTTCTCTCAGACATGCTGATAGGAGTGGGTCTGGGATGTCTAATGCAGATGATTAAAACAAAAGTTGATGTTCGGGTAATCCTCCAACACCCCRAGACACGTTTATGAGACTGTTTTGAGTTGGATGATGATGATGATGATGGTTTTTTTTTTTTCTCAGTTTGCAACAGAAGGACTGCTGACGTGGATCCTTGCWGGAGCCCTGGGTTTGTCCTTGGTCCTGTCTTTTGTCATCATTCCCCTGAATCGGTTCCACCTGAGTAGGAAACATGGGATCTTTCTCCTCGTGTTCTACCTCATCTTCCTCATCATCGCTCTTCTGGCCGAGTTTCACATAATCCACACCTGACCCGACCCCAGGACTTTCAGCCAGTCTGGATAATAATCTCACACTGTGATGAATATGATCCGCACCTCTTATTGCACTGTTCCAAGCATTAATGATGCTTTGCTGCTTTCAGCAACCATCCTGCAGTTAGCTGCTTTGACTGTGACGTGTTCAGATGGCGTTGAAGACTTGTGCCACCTGTTTTACAGATTTTTAACTCACATTTGACGTACGATCGTCAAACATTTTGTCAGTTTGCTGCAAGGCCTGCTCAGTTCATTACCAGTGTGTCCCGCAGTCTGCATGGATCTGATCCTCACCTGTTTGTTTCGTGGCATTTCCGGGACTCTGCTGATGCTCGTCTGTTACCGGTTGTTGGTTTGGATCAGTAGAGTTTATCTTTGCGGTGGCGCTGGAGAGGTGCGCCTCCCTCRCCACTTCTGTTGGTTTTATGGTGAATGTCGCGTCGGTAAGCTAATCGGGACTTTTATTTGGAGGAACTTTTGTTTCACACCAACTTTGAGTTGGACTTCCTCTGCATAACAGAAGCCTGGATGTCTCAGTCAGTCCAGCACTTGGGCAGAATTATATCCACTTGACTGTTTTTAATTTCCTGCTGTTCTCAGGTTGTGCCGAAAGATTAGCATCCATTTAAAAATATCTAACTTTATAAACAGTTTTCCATCCCTGTCTCTTACTCCAACTTTGAACTGAGCCTTTTTTAACTGGGTCATTCTCCAAAGTATTAAAAATGACTTTTTAAGTGACTTTTGTTTGAAGTTATGACAAAGTTTTAATTACTGGAGGTTTTAAAAATCATGATTGTTGTATTGAGAAGCCTTTTGAGTTGGTGGACTCTTAACTCTCTAAATGGTGCAACTCAGGAACATTTGTATGTTTAAGTCTCTCARCAGTTCGACCCTCTCTTGTACCTCTGAGCTGCTGCAGCCGTATGTACCACAGCTCTCTGAGGTCAGCAGATCAGAGCCTTCTCTGTTGTAGGCCCAAAACTCTGGRATGGTTTTCCGCTGCATGTCGGCGAGTCTTAAAAACTGCACTTTTCTTCCCTGGCCTTCGACCCAGTGTGAGGTGATTTTAATTTGTTTTTCGTCATTCTAGTTCTCATGGTTTTAGTTTTTACCTCTATATATTGATGTAATTTACCCCGTCCTCTGCTTGTTTTATTGTACAGCACTTTGTTTGGCTGTGTTGCTGTTTTGAAGTGCTTTATAAAAAGAAAAAAAAAGTGGCATAGTATCTATAGTCAATGAGAAGCAGTTGTCTGCTCAGGGAGAACTGAAACAACCAAACTGTGCCTTTACTCAGCTTATTCCCATCACTGGATCTGGACTGAGTCCAGACAACAAATAATGTAAAAATGCAATAAAAAAATATGAATGTACTGTAAATCCAAAATGTCTGACTTTAAATAAAGCTGCTTATGAGAACTTGGAAAGAAGTTTTCCTATTTTAAATGTATAATCAGCAGTTTTATGGTACAAAAACAACAAAGTCATGCATTTGACTATTAGAATAGTTTATTAAAATCTCTTACTTGAAGTTCATTATGGAATGAGAAGTTATAGAAAATAGTTGGACTGTTGGGGGAAACTTTACAGTCATTTGTGGGACTGAGCTAAAAGGAGTGTTTATCCTTCTGTTCTTATCGTAGTAAAGTATTATTTTTGTTAATACTGGTCATGTAAGCAGTTAAACTAAGGCATCAGGTTTAAATACATAAATTACAACAGAATACACAAGCCCTCCAGTACTGTAAATACACAAGAGACTGTGGTAGTAGAGGCTTTCTGTTAGCTTGTGCTGCAATCCTTCAAAAGGCCCAACAGCAGGTGACATTCAACACTCCCAGAGACTGCACAAACCCATTTCTCTCCAGATTATTATTTTTCTTTCCCCCTACTGACGATTATAAGTGTCAGGGGAAGTGGAAGTGCTTGTGTTTCATCTCTTAAGATGATGCATCTGTACAGCTTACAAACTGTTAGTTAATGCTGTGCTCTTCAGTCAGTGAGTTCAGCTGAGGCTCTGAGAGAGGATAAGAGTCTGAGGCGGGACTGTCGCCCATCGGTCTCAGGCTGTGTTCCAGTTCAGACAGGTTGTTGATTGAATATTCTGCGTACCACTCCTGGGAGGAAAAAACAACAACAACAAAAAAAAAAAGACATGAAACAAAAGTCCAACTGCCATTTTGACACAAAACAACATCTTCAGTTTCTCACCTGCATCTCTTCTTCGTACATTTTCATACTGAGGTCACTTTTTGTTCTCGACCTGCGGCCGAGGTACATCAGAGACGTGTGCTGTCCACAGGAAAGAGAGACTGTTAACAGGAATGAAAGTCTGTTTGCAAAGCGGGAGAGGAAACGTTCAGCGTATGTCCTCACCCCACTCTTGTCCATAGATTGTAGGACTCCTACAAGTGAGCTGATGGAGGACAGCCCCGGGGACATCYGTCTGTACAGCTCAAGAGTGGCCAGAGTTTCGTCTCGTCTCACTTCTACTTCAAACACGATCCCATTCTCATCTGCAGCACATTCAGATACTTTACACCGGCTGTGACGGCTGACTGACAGCAGGAGAAACTGCTACTTATTGTCTAATCTCAGCTAGTACGTACCCCCTGGATTATCGACGATTTCCCTGTTCTTGCGGCTGTAGTTCATGCGAAACACAAACGCATCCAGGATAAAAGCCACAATGATGGTCATCACCACCTGGAAACACAYGTTTGATCACACTCACACACGACAAATCGTGTTAATCTAGACTCAAAGTTGCATGCAGCCTCACCATGGTGACAATGTAAAAAGTCATGAAGTACAGACGACTCCAGTGGCTCGTCATGGACGTCACTCCTTCCTGGTGGGAGAGAAAACATGGCGGTCAAACAGCAACACCCGCTGATCATCAGTAAAACTGCAACACATGAATCTTACCATGGTGATGTACCAGTTGTTGACCACAGTCAACTCAAACAGAGTCACTGAAGATTAAATGAAAATATGACAAGTTTATTCACTCAGCATGAGCATTTCTTTCAAATCTTAWGAAAGGAACAGAAAACAGCATAATTCACTGTTTGGGATGTTTTTATACGTTGCATCCAACGATTCATTTTCTTGTTTTTCTTCAGTGTTGTATAAAGTACCACAAAGTGATATTTACTTTGGTAAAAGTTAAAGTCTCCTTTAGGAATATTACTTGAGTAAAAGTCTTAAAGTATTTGATATTTTTTGTACTTAAGTATTAAAAGTAAAAGTATTTGTGGTAGAACTAATACTTTTATGTTTAAGCTAGTTATTCATGACATCCTTTAATGACCTAGGTTTTTCATGACATGAAGTTCATCTGCAGATAGAATGATTAAAGTCAGAACAAGATCTGCTAACAACAGTCATTCTTAGATATCACTTGTGTTTAACTTTGTGTTTTCCATTGACCTTGTATCAAATCTTGCTAAGATGAGAGAATGGTGTTTGTTAATATATATATGAGGCCTCTCGAGACACAGTGTATAACAGTAGAGTGGAGAGACAGTGACAGAGAGAAGCAGAGGCACAGAGACAGGCCAGGTTGTTGTCTGTGTTTCCTGTTGTTGCAATAAAACTCAGCTGATCATCTCACGGAGTACCTTCATTCTTGGACCACGTATTTCTGTCTTTGTTAAATAAATATTGCCATAACAGTATTGATTTAAAATGAGCAGTTAGATTTTCTGTAAGGGCATTTATTAGGAGGTGACCTCCCTAAAAAAATGCAGACATGACTGTGTTGTATTAAAATATTTTATGTTAAATTTAGGATGCACTAGTCTAGCCGTTTCAGTTTATATACATGTATCAAGGCTGACCAAACCTTTTCCCCAAAATGAAAATCTATCTGAGGGCTGCGGCCAAATGCAAAAATATAATTCAGTAAATACAAAAACTTCTTAAGTACAGTCCTTTTATTTTAATGATCATGTCCTGCTGGAGTGACATGACTTTTTCGTGTACAAACTRATACGGTATCAGAATTTTATATATTTATAYTTCTCATTCAACCACAGTTAAATTCACTCTATCTAGGAGGCWCAATTTACATGGATAGATTTTATTTTTTACAACAACAAGCTGGAATAAAAACAAGCGAAAATGAAATAAAAGTAACAACTTTCTAATTCTTGCCCCCTTTTTTTTTTTTAAATGTAAGGAGTAGAAAGAACAGATAATTGTGTGAAAATGTAAGAAGTGAAAGTAAAAAGTAGGCTGAAAAATAATTACTCAAGTACAGATACCCAAAAATTCTACTTAAGTACAGTAACAAAGTATTTGTACTTAGTTACTTTACAACTCTGTTTTTCTTTTAAATGAACTTAAACCTGAATTTTTCCTGGCTCTWTGGAAATGTAATGTTTTGTTGCTACATTGTCTCACGTGTAGACAACATTAATACTTAAGTAGATTTTGTGTCAGAAATTTACTTTTGATACTTAAGTACAAGAAATATCAGATACTTTAAGACTTTTACTCAAGTAATATTCTTATAGAAGACTTTAACTTTTACCAAAGTATTTTTATGAAAAGATACTTGTACCTTTACCTCAAGTATCATGTTGAGGTACTTTATACAACACTGATGAATGTAATACTTAGTGCCACAGTCTTACTGCAGTGGGTAGAAGTGGTCTATAAATACAGGGAACTGAGGTGAATCTCAAGACTTTTGCACAGTATAGAAAGTCTTATTCTGTTAAAAAACAAACAAATAAATAAATTACCGAAGCTGCTGAGGATGTTGTTGAAGTTATTAAGATAATAGTAGCCTTCTTCCGTGACGGTTCTGTTGCCTTCAGTGACATTAATCTGCCTGTAGGAGTTTGCCACTGTGCTGGTGCTAAGAAGAAATGAAGTTTGACAATTTAATTTAAATTATTATCACATAATTGTCTCAAAGCGTTGCACAACACACGGACTGTGTATGCATGTTAAAGAAGGAAATGTGAGGAATTTGGACAAGTGACTCACTTGCAGCAGTTGGGGTAAACGACATCTGCGAAGAACTCCATGCCCACGATGGCAAAGGAGTAATAAAAGATGATTAACGTCAGCCCCAGACTCGCCATCCTGGGGAAGAGCTCAAACATGGTGTCCAACACGTTACGGTACCTCTGCTTTATCTTAAATAACCTGTCAAGAGTCAAAACAGTAAAAGGTTTAAAGAAGAAATAAAATGTACATTTGTATTTTGAGTAAGGAAAAAAAAGAGCAAAGCACACCGTAGCAGCTGGAGAGGTCTGAGAACCACGATGAAGTAGAAAGGCTCCATGTTGAAGGCAAGAGCAATCAGGCCGAGGAAGGCGAACACAGTCACAGAGAAATCAAACCTGGACGAACGGAAGCAAAGTGAAAGTTACCAGAAAACACACAGAATCAAGAATCAGTGCAGAATCGAAACATACATTAAGCATGTGTTTGTTTTGTTTTTTATTAAAAAGGAGGTTTTACTCACAGATTCCACCCGGATCGGAAATAAGCAATTGGCCCCAAACCGGTTACTTTCAATAATACTTCTACACCATAAACTATAAGTTAAAGAAGCAGAGGCAGAATTAATCCCAGCAAAAACAACAAACAGATTTAACTAACAACTGAAATAATTTCATTTTCTGTGTGAAGAGTAAGGCAGTTCTTTACTCACTTGTCAAGAAAACAATGTAACTCCAGGGAACAAAYTGGGACCACGAATATCCCCCTGAAGAGGATGGTAAGAGATCAGTGCAGAGTTTAACACATTTCATCTGTTGTGTGTGTGCGTGCGTGTGTGTTAATGGAAAACATCTTACTCTCCAGTGTGTATGTCTCCACAAGGATCCAAACACCGTTGATGGCCACAACCACATCTGCAGTCACAATGAAACGTTAAGAGAMCTGAAATAACTGTTGACTGTGAGGAAAGCTGGGAGAACATTAGTAACACTCACACATGGCGTACTGRAAGCCTTTTGACTTCACAAGCAGGTGGATGCCTGTTTAAAACAAAAAGAGCATAAATAATTTAAAGATTTACTTTCTGCCAACAAAAAACTGCCAATTTTGGTGCTTTATTAAAGGTGAAAAAGTTTTAACTGAAACTAAACTCAATTAAAAAGAGTTTGCAAACAAAACAGAGACAAGAGAATCTGCTGATGATCAGATCTCCAGGATTGTCTCCTCTTCAAAAAAAACTCAAAACTTTGTGTCAAACTGCTGCTATTTTATAACAAAGAAAAAACTATTTTGCAAACATGAAAACAAGGTGTTCCCACAGACGTCTGTGTGACATTTGTTTTGTGAAAGTAGAGACGAGTTAAAAATGCAGCTGCTTTCATTAGTTTTTTTTAGACAGCTGAGAGATTTTTCTATTACTTTTCTATTAAACATGTTCTGTGTTTTGATCTAAAATGATGTGTTGTTTAAACTATCATCTGTGTGACATCTTAAACAAAGGTTTTTATCATTATTTTTCTATCTTCTCTAACTATGACCACCGCTTCCATTCATTTCTATTATTTTCTACAGATAACTATATTATTAAATATACATTGTTATAGATATTATTTTGAAAATCCAGGTCATCTCAGCTGTCTTACTCAAACAAGTCACTCATTTTGGCATTAGAAGGTTGTTTCTATATTGAATAGTGTGAGACTGATTTAATAGGAGGGGAAAAGATGAACATTTTATCAGACAACATTTAGTGAAAATGGGCTTGAAGTTATCCCACCCTGATTTAAAGAGTTTTGATTTGTGCAAAAAGCAAAATAAATACAAAAATAAAAAAGCAGAACTTGCCCTTAAAAATGAGGAAGGCTGTGTGCGGAAGCTCATCAAACCAGTGTTCTCCGCTTCGTCGTGCCTAAACAACACACGTTTACAGTACATGTATGTGACAGTCTGCCACAACATTAAAAACTATTGCAACATAGTAAAACTAAAAACTAATTACCTTCCATTTAAGGCCAGTGACCTCATAAAACTTATAGAAGTCCTGAAGACTGAAACAGACCAACACCTTAATCAGTTGTAACAAATGCAAATATAATGCTTTTAAAAGCTTGATTTTAATTAAAAAAATAACCAGACAGCTACCTGAGCATCTGAGCTCCTGATGTATTCAGAGCTTTAAATGTGAGGAAGCGGTCTCTCGCGGACATCCGTGGTCTGTAAAAATGCATCAGACCATCAAACTGTTTTAGAGACACGCCCGTTGGCCTCTGGAGAGAAATTAACAGCAGCACAGTTAAACGTGAAAGCACCATAGAAATAAACAACTTGCAGCAATAACTACGCGCATACCTGTCTACTAACTAACAGCTGAAAGGCGTGGTCAATAGCCGAGCGTTTGTGCAGCAAAAGAGATTTAAACTTCATCTTCTCGACGTCATTGAACGTATCAAACACCACTGCCAGGAGCTGGACAGGATTRCGACAGTGTAGAAGTGAGTATAACTACATTATATCCACTTTAAAAAGTATTTTAGAAGTGGTGAGAAGCAAACATTCGCACCAGGTTCATGATGAAGTAGAGCTCTATGGAGAGGTAAACTATGAAGAAAACACAWGACCAGCGGTTCTTGGAGTATGCTGGCATCATCACATCAGGGAAACTGCAAGAACGAGAAGCAGGAGATTAATGAGTCACGATATATAAAAAAAAAAAAAAACACTTATGGAGAGAAAAAAGTARGAAACTCCTGGCTGGAAATAACTCAACAGTATCATGCGTGTTGCTTACTTTGCTGTGGTCAGCAGCACAAACAAGCTGACGAGGCTGTTCTCCAGACTGTTGAAGTACTGCGGTGAGAGGACACGTTTAAACAAGGACATCTAAACAAATAAAACAGTGGCACAAGTAGAGGATCCACCCAAGACTCCTCCTACACATGCATACTGTAATATACACAAGCTGTTATCAGGTCGACTAAAGACTCAACRTACCGGGTCAGCCGTGTTTGTGGAGAACAGACAGAAACCTGAAGCAGACCAAACACACGAAGTTACAGCAACAAAATAAAGTTCTTAATGAAAAAACTTGTGTTCAAAATGAACAAATTAACATTTTTACCTAAAATAGCAAATATAACCATGAAGAAAAGTAGCAGCAGGAGGATGTCAATAAAAGACGGGAGGGACTGGAAGATCTGACGCAAGTTCCTGATTGGATGAAAGACACTTTGTTAATAAGAACTGCATCTAATGGGAAACCACGTTGCAAACTAAAYAATGGTCAAGTAAATTTAATGTTTAAAAGATCCATTGATTTATGGAAGTCAGTAAAACCCTTACTCTTTCAAATGATTTAATATGCACAACTGTAAAATACTAATTATTATACAGCTGCACCATAGACCTTTTATTTAAAACTGAAATACCTGATAAAGGCTAAATTTAAAAATAAAGCAAATTAAGAAAACTGCAACTTCTGTTTTTGTAGCCCTGGCTTTTACATGACTGCAATTATCTGTGTGTTTTGATCACCATGCACCTGCGCACAGCACCACAGTATCTACAGTCCACCAGGAATATTGGTCTGAGAGCTCTGGTCACTCGAACATGAGACGTTTGTCTGATCAGAACCACGATGGCCTCCACAAACTGCAGCAGCAACACACACGTCTGTGCAAGGACAAGAGAGAAAAACAAGCAAAAAGGATTTTACTACAAGCCTTATTCCAGACAAGCAGGAAGACTGTGTCTCATATAATAATAATAATAATAATAATAATAATAATAATAATAATAAAATTAAATTTGTATTGCACTTTACAATTTTCAATCTCAAAGTGCTGCAAAAATAAAACATTAAAAAAAAACTAAAAGTACGCAATTAAAAATATATTTAACCACTAAAAAAATGCAACGAAGGCGTTCAATGGTTACTGAACAAAATAAAGTAGTTTACCTTCACCATCGTCCTCTTGTGCCGAATGAAGGTGTGGAAGCCTAACCATCGCAGTTTCATGCATAGTTCAAAAGCCACCGTAAGCAACGCCAGCAGCTCCAGAGTAGCATGAAACTGTAGAGGTAAAAAATATTTACAAAGCAACTTAGCACAAAAAATAAAGAACTTTGATAGATTATTTCTTTGTTGTAACAATGTTTCTTCTTCTTGGTATAATGTTGGATAGGGCTGGGCATAATCGTATTGTGTGCAATTAATTGTCAGAAAAACAATCAATTTTTTTGGCACTTGTTTAATATGATTAATGACACCAGGATCAGTGCTCCTCTCCGCTTCAAATATGATCAACATTAAAATAAAAAGTTCTGTAATTTATTTATCTATCAACACAATTTAAAAATTGATGTATAGCCTGAAGTCTGTAATTTTGACACAATTTGGAACAGATTTTTATGAAGAGCAAAAATTTCCCGCTAAATTGGTCGCGTAACTAGGACATAGGAGTGTCCAGGGACTCCAGGGGATTAATTGTCAAATTAATCATTATCAGCTAAATACCACAATTAATCATGAACTTTTTTGCCAATATTGCCCAACCCTACTGTTGGAAATCCTGATAATTTCCATTTTAAATGGTGCCACATTTGTAAGGAACATGCTTTTGTTGGATAAGCAGTAGAACTGAGTATTTGGGTTGCACATATGAAAAATTTACTAAACGCTCTCTGCCAAACAGCTTATTTTGCTGTTGACTCCTGTTTTGAGCTTCAGGTGCCCAGTATAAAATATATTGCAAAACTGCAATTGCAGTAATTCCATGACAAATTATATTTCTATAGATTATCTTTGAATCTCTTTTAGCTAATCAGAAAATGAAGTGGGATAGAATGAAAAGGGTGACTTGAGTTTCCAACCCTTCAGTAAATCAGTTCAGAATGCAGCTCCATGCGGGCTCTTTGCCACTTCTACAAACTTCTTTTAAACTCAGCCGCCTTTCTCTTCTCCTCTCACCTCAAACAAACTTTAAAACACTTTGACAAAGGAGGCAGTTTATGCTGATTTACGTAAATGTCCAGGCGCAGCGAGGGGACGGCGGGAGCCTCGCACAGCGACAGCAGCAGCAGCAGCAGGCCCGTGAACAGCTCCATCACGTAGAACACGTGGTTGTGGACAAACAGGTACGCTGCCAGAGCTTTCGGGTTTCGAGGGTGAGTGAAGAACTTATCGTTGTTCTCTCCTTCCTGTAAATTCAATCACAGCACGCATTTAACATCTCTGTACTGAGCCAGCAGCTACATTTGCTTTTTTTCAGCCTTAAAGGAAAACTTCTGAACAATATAGTCAGGGGCGGTTCTAGGGGCGGGGCCACAGGGGCATCAGCCCCTGCTGAAATATGATTGGCCCCCTGAAGTGCCCCTGTCCTGTCACTCATCTGTCCTTTGCCCAAGGACGATGATGCTGTGTGCAGTTCCATGTCCAAACACTAGAGGCGCTAATGAGACCAATAGAAATATTCAGCTTGAATGAAGCTGACAGAAGTTTTTTCTGTTTTTAAAAATTGAACAATCCTGCAGAAAAAGTCTTTCAACTCACAAATGATGACTGGATTCTCACATGCTGTGTGCTTAAGAGTATTTTATCTATGTAGATTATAAAAATTCATGTAAAATTGGTAAGGAGAATTTACTTTGCAAGCTTTATTTAAATTACAAGTTTTTAAACGTGTGACTGATTAAATATACACACCTTACCAAAACCAAGGATTTGTGTGCAAGGATGCTGAACAAATACTTGGCCCCTCTATGACCCCTTACTCAGAAAAATCCTAAATCTGCCACTGAATATARTGTGGAAGCTATAAAGTGTTTATTTTATGAGCATGTGAATGAGTGTAAACTCTAACTAGCTGTGGCCACAGAGCCATTTGTACCTGCAGGTATATGGCTGCTTCTTGGTAGTTCATCTCCCAGCTTTGCCTCATTGAGACATTTTGGTTTCTGCTGTTTTGTGGTCCTGGAGTTGAAACCACAGCATTGTTCACAAGGTCAAAATTCCCTCCTCCATCTAAAAAAAACAAACAAAAAAAAAACTTACAACTATTTATTTAGGTCAACAAAAACACACGAAAGCAGGGTTTGTGCCTACCAACGCAGTCTAGTTCAAACTGTAAGTTATAGGAGGAAATCACAGCTGGAATCTCATTAAAAGACTGATCATCGTGGAAACCAGCTGCCTGTCCGTGTAAGGTCTCCATTGATCAGCCTGGAATTGTTCAGTGTGCCTCACTCAGCTGTGTGAAATATCAAGGTCCCTGGCATCCACGCCGCCAGCACACGTGTGTGTGTCTTTCACAGTACACTAGTCTTGTTCAAGCCTTTGCACACATCTGGAGACAGAGATGGCCAAACATCCCACTGAAGGCTGAAGGAAACACCGGAAACAGTCACAAGTGTGGTCCAGACGAGATCCTCGACAGATGCAGAAATGTCTCAGTGGTCAAATGAATGCTGGAGACATCAACACGCTTAGAAAGGCCAGTACTTCTTTAACAATAAATAAATAAATAAACAGTTATCAGGAACAGCTGAAGAGCTCTTACACAGTAAAATAAGCCTCAGCTGTACTGTGAACGTTAAACTTAACTCTGAAACAAGCACAGACAGCTGCGTTTGCACTGATGTTATGTCTTTTATGCTTCCTTCCTGCTACAGACAGGATACAGAAACACCAGAAGAGGAATTAATCCAGCAACACAAACATAAATGACACAAAGTCTTTAACTGAGTCAAAAGTAAAACACAACAAAATCAAATCTGATTTTTTTTCTTCAGACCACCTTTTAAATAATTAAGTTCTCATTAATCAGTTCTTCCCTGCAACTTTCTGCACATTTTACCAGTTTAACTGGCTTCTCATCCCACATACTGCAAGCTACATGATTCAGCTTCAGGCACTCAGCTCCACACAATCAAACCTAAAGTAGGCGTACAAGTCTGAGTGAGGCAGCCACAGACGTTTACAATCCAAAATGACGGCAGAAGATAGACGTTAAGATCAAATTCGCGCCGAGCAGCCTGCCTGTAGTCCTGACACAAGTCAGCCTTGTGCCTCTGAAATCACCCATTTGTTGGAGAACAATAACATGTTTGGAGCTCCCAACAGATAATGCGATGAGGTCAGGTTCACAGAGACACAAACAGACTCCACAGTCATGAGTCCCAGTAAAAAAATAACTCAATACAGTTTTGCAGTCGTAAAAATCAAACTCCTTGCTTTCACCCAGACATGTGACTTGTCATGAAGGCGATAAAACACCGTCTTTTTTCCCCTCTGCATCCAGATTCAAAGTTCCTCTCATTCCAGAAGGTGCCAAAAAAACAACCGGCAACAAGAGTTTGACTCTGTCCGCTTGTACACCACTCCCACAAATGTTCTCAAAGGGAAGAAGAAGAAGAAAAAAAGGATACTGCTCATTTCTTCCTGTTCACCCCCGGATCTTGAGGGAGTGATTCAGTACACACAGCCTGCAGATACAACACACACACTGTCCATGTGCCCCTGGGAGGGGCCGAAGGGGGGCACGGTCTGCTGAACGAGCAGTTTCTCTCTCAAAACAGTCTGTAGCTTATATATGAGCAAAACAAAAGTAGCAGGAACCCTACACATGCTGCCCACGTGTAGGACTTCAGAACTGTGTGTTTTAAAGCTGCATGACCTGGATGTGCAGAATATTTGCAGCTCAGAGCCAACTTCAGGTGGCTCACAACTGCATTACTGCAACTGTGGTGAGTTGGCCTTCATTTCCATTTCAGAAGACTAGAAGTTCTGCGTTCAAAGCCGTACTAAAGTATGCAATTTGTCATGGAAAGATAAATTCAGTGACAAGCCTTCCTTTGTGGCAAAAGAATTGTCACGTAGAGGTCACGCTTTTAATGATACAGTAGTTTTAAAGAGGCTGGTGACCTCGTCCCTTTCCAATAAACTTTCTTAAATTATATAAATACATTCTCTTACTATCTTAAGGTAGACATAATCCGCTGCTTGAAACTTTCTTAGCCCTGACACTAAATAAATAAATATCAACAAGCCAGTCTCAAGAGACACTCCAGTGTGTAAATGCTAGAACAAGACCAGTAAAACTGCTTATTCTATGGGGAAAATGTGTTATGTGTATGTTGTATTTGGTGCTATAGAGGTGGGTATAATCTTTAGCCAATTTGGATATTCTATCAGTTTGAGTGTTTTAATTTTAAATAATGTTTTAGATAAGTGGTTTCAGAAACAGAACAGACAAAAATTGTTCATCTAAAAAGCTAGCAGTAACTGAAGCTGACAAAATATAAGATGTAAAAAAAAGCTGCATAATAATAAATAAGTTTAAAATCTCTACTTATGCATATTTACAGAATGAAATGCTTTGTATTTCAGCAGCTGACAGTTCATTTGGTGCACATGACTTTAATAAGTAGTATAATCTACAAACAATAAGCAGAAAGGACAGTTCAGTTCACGTTCTCACAAGAATTAATTGTGCTTCAGATGAAATGAGGGTAAGAGAGGCTCCAGACTTACTTTGGTCTCCTCTCTCTGTCTCTTCGCTGAGCAGACCACTGTTTGCTTCGTCCCACGTTAGGATGAGAGGGACATCGTCGTCAGACTCCATACTTTCAAATAAATAAAGTCCAACCTGCTTTGATTTTCAGCTGGAGTTAATCTAATTGACACACAGGCTAAACCAGCTCGCGCATCCTCGGTGGAAGAACTACTTTAAGCTAACACAAACAACTGTGCGCTGATGWCGACAGCTGACTAAGTCTAATCGTTTTAATACTATTTAGCCCCTTTTAAGTTGTAATATTTAAGTGGACAGAAAAACAAAATACTTTTCTGTTTTAGACTTTGTTTTGTCGCGCAAGACATTTCTCTCGCCGACAGKTTCGAAACTGTCGCTCAGAAGCTAACAAGCCGAGGCTGTCCGTCTGAGCCCATCAGAACCAGCGTCTGTCTGTGAGTAACAACAGCTGTGTCTGCTTTCTTTAACACGAAGACCGTCAAAAAGTCTGCATCTTAAATAATCCACAAAACCAGTAATTACAGTCATTCATGGATTACAGCACCAGAGACGCCTCTTCTTCTTCTTCATGTACAGGGCTATTAGCACAAAACACAGACGCCTCTGAAGAGCTGATATTAAAAACAAACTCACGACACTGAATCGATTTGCGGCAGTCTGGGTGATTTTCAAAATAAAAAGATTTAACCCGTGCAGTTTTAATTTAAATATACCGTGTTATTGAATATTCGTTTTTCTTTTATTTCTATTTTTTTCTATTTATATGTCTAATCTATTGTCTGTGAACATCGATATACGAGCAGAAGTGTTTCCGTTGTTTTGGCACCATTTGTTGTCTCGTCATGGTGCCATAGCAACCGAATAAACAAACGCAGACTAAACGGAATCAAACAACAGGTACGTCTTTTAGTTTAAAGTTTAATTTAATCCATGCAAATTTATACAATTAATGCTTTCAGATATTGTTAAGTGTCAAAAATGTTGCTTGGACAAAAGTAAGAAAGGCTTTAAAAGTTAAAGATTGTGGATGATAAGAGAAATAGTCGAATAATTGGTTCTGTTTGCTGTAAAACTACCATTGGCAGTAACCAGTTTGTTTTTCTATATGCCCTTCTGAAACTTTCACAATGTTGTGAAGAAATTGTGGCCCATTCTTTCTTTACTATGTTGCTGCAGTTGATTGAGGTTTGCAGTTTTGCCCAGGTCTTTTGTTGGGATGAGGTCTAGGGACTGTATCATTGCTAAACATTCTGCCATTCTAATATCACAGATTCGCTGCAGTGAAATTAATATTTTGTTGCATGATCCAATTCAGTACTTTAATTTTTACTTTTACTAATTTAGTACTACTGAGTCAATGAATGCAATCTACCCAGGTCCCGTGGCTTGAAAACAAGCTCACATTAATAATCATAATGTGTGGTATTCTCCAAATGTGACATTGTGTATTATGCCCAAACCTCTCAACTTGAATCTTGTTTGTCCAGTGGACATAATTTTCTTAGTCTTGCGGTTTCTTCAAATGTAACATTGAAAATCAAAGTTGTGCTATAATTTTTTTTTAGCATAAAGAGGCGATCCCTTGGCAACACATGAACTTCAATATTTACAACACTCACAAAAGCCAGTAGACTCTCAGATGTCCATAGCTCCTGGGTTATTTCTGTGTGCGTTGTACAAACACACACAGAGAATCTTTCATGTGTTTATGCCACTTTGGCTTCACACGGCACTGAAAGGATCAGCAGTTGTTTATGTCCATGTAAAGAAGAACTATGTCAGCAGCAAAAAGTTGCAATAGGGTACAGATGAGCCGTTATGTTCAATAAAAAAAACATTTGCCCATCAACCAATAATTTTACAACTTTTTTTGTTTGTTTACTTTTTTATGCAGTTCTGTGTGACAGGATGTCTGCAGAGGAAGCAACATTTCAAAATATGCAGTCAGAAGATGCAACTTTGTCACCAGAGGAGCAGCTCTCTCCTGAGGCTGAAAGGATTTCAAGGGTTTTGGTAAACTGCATCAGTCAAGTAAAAATTGCAGCGTCTCTGCCTGCCATCCTCCAGTTTTACAGCAAGTCTGATGTTGTGGACCAGGACTTGAGCAGGGCCCTTCAAACACACCAGATGTTAGCAGAAAGATTGGAGATGCTTGAAGGTCAGCAACAGAAACAGACCAAAAAAGAAAAGGGGAAAATGGTTCAACTCAAAAAAGATGTGAAAAACTCAGTCAGAGATACTCTCAGGTATTTCAAAATCCATCCAGTCGTGCTTTCAGGCCTCAGAGCAGAACTTAATGTGGAAGTAGGGGAGAGTGAGTCCATGTTAACTGAAATGCTGGAAAAGTTTCATGATCACACAGTAAAAAATCTGATTTCTGGTCCTGATGAGAACAAGCATAAGGTCCTCCAAAGACAACCACGTTCATCCTCTGGTAAAGTTCTGCATGATTTCATTCCAACGGAGAAAAATGTTGACAAAACCGTGAAACAACTGGAGCGACTGGGGGAAGAGGTGAGACAGTGACCAGCAACAYGCCACAGGAGTTTGTTATGACACATGATCGAAGCTAGTAAATTGTCCTTACCTGTGTCAGCTTTTCTTTTTTTCTGCAGATTTTTAAWAAACAGGGCGCAATAGCAAATCTTCAAAATTATTTAGGCTTCCTTGAGAGACGAGCAAAAGAAATATCAGCTTTCTTAGAAAAGCAGGATGAGCCTAAATTAAGCTCCAAGCTGACCAGTTTAAACCAGGAAGCAGATCAACGAAACGCTCAGCTCAACAACTTGATGACTGAAAACCAGCAGACACAGAGGATTATCCAGAAGGTACATTTACACATTTTAAACACTGTATATTTTTACATTAGTAGTAAATTATGTTTGTGTTTGACAGGAAAATGAAATGTTGGAGAGGGAAATTGAAAGCTTACTTCAAACATTCGATGAGGACATGGAAAAACTTCAGGTAAAAACTATTTGCAAGGTGTTAGTAGTTCATCACAATGTTTGAAGTCATTTTCAGAATTTTAAAACCATTAAAAATGTAGGCTCTATTTAATACTTTTAGGACTTAAAAACACAGAAATCTAGCCACATTATAACAGGGAAGCAGGATGTACTTCCAGTTGTTTTTCCACAACAAGAGCAGCAGATTGACAGACTGTCTCACCTGTCTCAGGCTGAGTTGGAGGGGGTTGAAAAGGAATATGAAAACGAGCAGGAGGACGTGACGATGCTGCAGGAATCCTTTTCTCTCCTGGAGGTTCAGAGCAACGAGATCCAGGAGAGGTGGCGTCTGGCAGAGGAAACGAGAAAAGAGGAGCTCGGGCTGTTGGAGAGGAAAAGCAATGCTGCTGTTGTTATTCAGGCCTKGTGGAGAGCCTACAGAGTTCGCAAGGCCTTAAAGAATAAAGATGAAAGTAAGAAGGGCAAGAAGAGTAAAAAGAGCAATAGCAAGGGCATCAGCAAGAGCATCAGCAAGGGCAACAGCAAGGGCAACAGCAAGGGCATCAGCAAGGGCATCAGCAAGGGCATCAGCAAGGGCATCAGCAAGGGCATCAGCAAGAAGAAGAAATAACATTTCACCTTCCTGGTTCTTCACCAACATGATCTCTGCCTGAGAGGTCTGAATGGTTTGGGATGTTTTGTTTTGGTCCACAAGGGGGCGGCGCAGCTCCCTTCTTCACTTCAACCTTCTTACAGTTTCTTAACAGGAACTGAATAAATCAACTGCTGCAGTTTTGCGAATTCATCCACAGAAAACGAAAGGATCTCTTAATAAAATGTATAGTTAGCCAGCAGCATGTGTCAAAGTCTGAGTGCCATTCAGAGAGTCGTTAGGTTTATTAAGCCATAATTATAAGTTTTGTTCCATTAAATACAGCAGATCTATTGGCTTCATGGCAGTCCAGATTTATCACTCGAGGTCACATTTTTCCCAACTCTAACTGGTTTTGCTTTTAAACTGTGTTTCACTGCAGCCTCACATTTCTTTTCTTGGCTGATATGATTTCTTAATAAAGCTGAAATTTCATTCTCTAATGCTCCTCTGCTCTCACACTTTTTACTTTTGGCGTAAAGTGACTCCACGGTCTCTGCCTTCAAAACTCTGCTATTAAAAAGGCTTTTACATTCCAACAATATCTCTGGATTTTTWAAAAAAAAATGTTTATGTAAACATTAACAGAAGCTCCCGCCTGACATCAATCTGCATGATTTCATGTATTTCACTTTTGAAATAGGATTGCTTTTTTAGATAATTGCATGAATAAGCAGGTGTGATGTGTTATACTCACATCAGTAACAAATCATTTTACTCCATTAGCTTCTTTTTTATGTATGGTTTAAAATAATCTTAATATTTTGTTTTTATGTTTAAGTATGGATCATTTGTACAATATTGGACAAGTATATTTGCATATGTGTACTGTCTCAATGCTTTCTTTTTTAGCAGTGTTGAAATTTGCTGAGACCTCACATTTTGAGAAATTATTCTTATTCCTTGACGATTTTATTCATATTTTAAACTCAGAGTTCCTCTGAACTTTCCTCTGGATCACAAATGTCCTCACAAAGTCCTCTTCAAACACAAGAAAAATAATATTAAATAAAAAAATGTTTTNATGGATGGATGGATGGATGGATGGATGGATGGATGGATGGATGGATGGATGGATGGATGGATGGATGGATGGATGGATTTATTCAGCAGAGATTTTCTTTGTTTTAAATTAATCTAGCTGCTCATTAGATATTCTAGTAACAAATAGACAAATGCAAAAATAAATCTTTACTTTAGCCTTCAACTGAAACAGACCCTTGAGGAACACCTGTGCTTATTGAGATTTTAGCTTAGTATTTATTGAATACAACTGCAATGGTTATTAAAAATTTTCAAAAACTGAAGTTGATTTAAAAAAATAATGTTTAACCCCTTGTATTCCTTCCCACTTTGTTTACATAGTTATTTGTCTGCAGCAGAATGTCTTCATCCAACTCTCATCGGCACTTTTAAAGCTTGAGATTGAAGCAGATGGAAGTTTAACAATATATTGTGAAAATGCCTCCTACACTGGATATATCAACATAGGCTTTGCCAGCCCTGCTTCCAAATGTGTTCAATAACAAAATTTTCTGTCAGGTTATATTTTTTCTTCACAACCAGGTATTCTATTGTTCCATTTCCTGCAAACTATCAGCTGTTTTTATAGTGTGAAACCAAATAGTTCATTTTTAGACAAGCTGTTGAGTGCTTGGAGTAATGCTCTCAATTTTTGCATCACCTCCACAGTAAAAGAAAAAGCATCTAACAAGAAAAAAAATCTGAAAAGAAATACTCAACTGGGGTGTGTAGCTGGCAGAATCTATTTGGAGTGAGGAAGCAATTGCTGCTCATTGACACGGCAATGTCTTAAGCCTGGCTGGTGAATGAATATTTTTGCAAATATATTGCATGATTTTACAGCAGAGGGCCTGCAGCAGATTCAGACACGGTGAGAAGCAAGACAATAATCTGTTGAGGAAACATGGTGTGTGACTGCGATCAGCTTTTATTTCACTTTCAGGAGCCTGGACAATTTTTCAATCTCATGTTGGATGCACAACACAAAATGAGGTGGAATAAACCTCCGAGCTGCAGAGACTGTGGCTGTAGTAAAATGTTTTAGAACATAGTTTGACTCACTAAAGTGTGATCCCATTCGTTTCAGTAAATCTAGGCAGCTTGCACTCCTAAAAGAATAGCTGCTATAGAACTAAAAGCTTAGCTAAAGCCCTGTTTTAATCCTCAGCGCTCACCGCACTCAAAGTGTCAATGTTAGCAGAAAGGATCTCAGTCACTTTTGGTAGATGAAGAACATTGGTCATTACTTCAGAGTAAACAGCATGATTTAAATAATAGCAGACTGAGAGCTTGAGCTCTTTGTCTTTCTCACTGTTTGCTGTCATCTACAGGTTCAATAACCGCTGTGCTGGAATTGACACTTGTGGGAGGAGAGGAGGTAGTCTCCTGAAGAGTGATGGGCKGTTCTTTGACAAGAATGAGGCTTCAAAAAAAGAAAGATCTCACTTCAAGACATTTGCAAAATGAGCCAATTTAAGTGCAGTTACTCAGCAATTACCTGTCACTCATCAAACCCTGACAGTCCAAATAGGTTCTCAGTTTTAGAACTGACTCAATTTAGCCTTTTTTTAAACAGGACTTTAGATTCTTTATGTTCATTTGTACGTCTGCCAAGTTGTACTTTTGCAACTTTGGTCACCTTGTACCCAGATTTGGATATGAGAAGAAGTTCTTGGTCACCTTGGCAGCTGGTCCAACTCTAAAGCTTTTATTTTTTGGAGGACACTTCAGAAGAAAAGATAAGCAGATTAGGATCAGTTTTTTTTATTGCCCAGGAAAAATAGTTTCTTGTACAAGTCTCTCTCTCTCTCTGTGTGTGTGTGTGTGTGTGTGTGTGTGTGTGTGTGTGTGTGTGTCCTTCAGGTGTTCATTGGTATCATGTGTGATACAGTCTAATTTAACACTTTTCTGTTTCTCTTTGATAAGATCATGACAGAATGTTTTATGATGATGAGGATGATGATACACAGGTATCATCATGGCTAATCTATAGTTTTAGGTGTTGGCACTTCAACAAGTTGCAGCTAAAATTATTTATTAAAATGCAGGTTTATGGGATAATAGATCCTTTTTAAGTTCAAGGCAACACATGCACACAAATCAAAATTTACAAATATTTTAATCAACATCTATTGATTATTAAGTGAGTTCATTTATATTAAAATATGCCTTTTCATATGTATACATTTAGTAAATACTGACAGAGACACTCTACAGTATTTATGCAACCATACAATGCAAATTTAACAGCAACTTACTGTAAATAGAGTTTGCATGGTTCATTATAAGAAGCAGCAACCCTTTTTGATTTTTAGTTGTTGCTTTATTAATCTAAACAGAATAAAACTTTGTGAATATTTGATTGTTCATAACCTTGTCTTAAAAAAATCAGAAAATTTGAACAACACCAAAAACAACAAGCAATAAGATGACACCAAATAGAACTTGAGATATTTTAGTCCATGTTTCATTGGTCAAAACTTCAGTATCTTCTGCAGACTGCTAAAAAAAATCAAAGACTTCTTTGAGTTTTTGCCTCGAATTTGTTCAAAAAATATTCTGTTATCTGAGGATTATTTGGAAGCACATGAATGGTAGGTATGTGTTTTTATGTTCACGGTGATGTGATGCCGCCACACAGAGACACGTCAAGGTGGCCTCTGTCCACTTAATGGAAATGTTGTGTGCCGTTATTTTTACACAATGACTCCTGGCTGTGTTAAAAACAGTGACGCTGACATTAGCAGAACCAGAGAAATGCATCACATGGAAATATGACGACCCCCCCCCCACCCCACACACACACACACACAAATGAATTTTATGGAAAAGAAGAGCTTCTCCTTAACTCAATGAAGGGGAAAACAACAGGCAGAGATGCTGCTTTATCCATTTTTAAAGAAAGGGATGCACACAGACTAAATTTATTATTACTAATGGAATAAAAGTGTGTTGTTTCAGGAGGTGTGAGGCTGAGGAGACGGAGGTATCACACCCATGTCAAYATGAACAGACCTTTTATCAGCTGAAGAGGACAAGGAAAGAAAGATTAAAAGGTCAGAGTCTAGCTGAAACTAATGCTATGCATAGATTAATAATAATAATAATAATAATAATAATAATAATAATAATAATAAATAAAACAGGTAACATCCATATTCATTAACTTTAATGTAACCCATTTTATTTATACATAAACATTTCTGTTGTAGGCTCTCAGCATTGGATAAATTAAAAACTAATCTTAAAACCATACATCAAATAGTAGGAAAAAAATGTGGCCTTGTGTGAAAATAACGATGACTCTGATTTGTTTATTTTTTGCACATTGTGTTATTAAGAAGGTATTCAGGATTAATAACTGATATTTAAACAGATTMTTTTCTTTTTACACACATCTGTTGTGCATTTGCTGCTGAGTTTTTGATCATTGTTTTTTGCAAACGGCCTAATTTGACCCATGAGTCATTTATTGTATGAATGACCGGCACTTTGATTCTTGAACACTTTGGTTTGCAGAGAAGTTCAGCTCAATCACTGCAGGCCACAGAATTCCTGTGGCTGCAAATAAACCCAACCCAAGATGACTGACTCCACCACTGCACTTCACAGTTAGTATGAGGAGTTTGTTAAGGATGCTGTCAGTTTTTAACAAACGTGTTTCTGTGGTAGCCCACCTACCTGTGGGACAATGTGAAGAAATCAAGCAGATTAACAGATTAATCCTGTGTAAAATCAGTGCAGACAGAAAATAAACCCATCCCATCTTTTAATCCTTATATTGTTGTTTATGAGCAACACTTGCAGAAAACAAAGGAATTATGTCAGAGCACAAAGCAATAAGGTGGTTCACAGGGTTCAAACATCACATTCATTGATAAAGTAGTGTGGTCAGTGCTTATAATCCTGAGG